GTGGGGTAAGCGTCCGCGAGCTTGGGGCCAGAGCCGCGTGTCTCCCTAGGTGGGAAAGTATGGGCTGGAGTTTCAGGGTGGAAAAGTGTGACATTTCTGGAACCCCACCGCACCCCTGGGTGAGGAGGCTGGCAGCAGTACCCCTCCCCCGTCCCGCTATGCTGGGTGCTGGCTTGCCTTGGTACTGATGAAAGAGTTTAGATCCTGCCCTGCACGGACTGCCGGCCCCCGGGGAGAGAAGCCTAGATCCTGTCAGTATTCTTCAGCCGGGGGTCTGAGCTGATGGCCAGGAGGGGAAACAGATGAGCTTAGAGAGGAGCTCAGATAAGGAGGGGCTGGGACTGCAGTGGCTTCTGTCCCGAGGCGAGGAGAGGCTAGAGGCCTGACATGGAGGTGGTGGTCGGAGGGAGGGTGGTCGGAGGGAGGGTGGTCGGAGGGAGGTTTGTGTGGGGTCACGCCAGGTGTAAGCAAGCTGAGATTCAAAGGCAAGGTTATTGGACAGTCGGGCCTGGAGCGATAGCGTAGTGGTTAAAGTCTTCGCCTTTAACGCGCCAGGAACCCATATGGGTACCGGTTCTAGTCCTGGCAGCTCCACTTCCCATCCTGCTCCCTGTTTGTGGCCTGGGAAAGCAGTTGAGGACAGCCCAAAGCCTTGGGTTCCTGTACCCGCGTGGGAGACCTGGAAGAAACTCCTGGCTCCTGGCTTCAGATCGGCACAGCACTGGCTGTTGCAGTCACTTGGGGAGTGAATCATCAGACTGAGGATATTCCTCTGTCTCTCCTCTGTAGATCTGCCTTTCCAATAAAAATAAAATCTTAAAACAAATTGTTGGACAGAACACACTGCCTCCATCCCACCCCTGGCTCTGCACTTCATCTTACGTTTCACCGTGGTGGTGCTGCTGCCGCTGTAGGGACCCCGGCCTGGCCTCGCCGCCCAGCCTGTGCCTCATTCAGCACGTTCTTCCCCCAGAGATTGGGGGTGCGGGGGTGTGTGAGAGTCGAATTTAAGAATGCTCAGCCTTAGAGGCTTGCAGCGGCTTTGCAGAGCGTAGCCCTGTACCCTCCAGCCCCAGGGAGTGTGTGGGTTTCATCCCCACACGGATGGTGTGCGCCCTTTGCTGTCCCATCTCCCTTCCCGCCGACCTCCAGGGCCCAGGAATTGCCCTTAGCCCTGCCTGGCTCTGCCCTCGTTCTGTGAGCTTCTCAGGGGTGGGGGCCGCACTGGCCTTACAGTGCTGCCCCGAGTGCAAGGGGTGGGCTCTGTACCGGGGCTGGGGGTTTCATGCGTCTCACAGGGTCCTGGACCTTGAGCCCCCAGCCCAGGATCTGGGGACTGAATGTCAGAGGTCAGAGGGCACTTGCAGGGTGCTCCCAGCCTCCTAACCTGCTCCTCTCACAGGTCAGCCCAGCCTGGGCGTGGGCTGTCGTCGCCGGCTGCAGGATGAACTGTCGCTCGGAGGTGCTGGAGGTGACGGTGGAGGGCCGGCAGGTGGAGGAGGCCATGCTGGCCGTGCTGCACACGGTGCTGCTCCATCGCAGCACGGGCAAGTTCCACTACAAGAAGGAGGGCACTTACTCCATCGGCACCGTGGGCACCCAGGACGTCGACTGTGACTTCATCGACTTCACCTACGTGCGCGTCTCCTCGGACGAGCTGGACCGGGCCCTGCGCAAGGTGGTTGGGGAGTTCAAGGTAGGAGCCTGCCAGGCCCGTGGCGGACCGCCCTTGTGTGCGTCCGCGCCCCTGCTGGCTGGCAGGCTCGCCTCCCCTGTGTGTGTGTAGGGGCGGGGAGCAGGTGTGTTGGCTGGCACGCCCTCTGGCTCCTGGCCCTCCACGGACACCTCCTCTACTCCGGCTTTTCCTGTTCTTCCCAGGATGGTGACCAGGTGGCACCATGGGTGGGGGTGCTGTCCCTGTGGTCCGTGGTCGTGCATACGTGCCTGAGAGGGCCGTGCTATGCTGCTAATGTGCTCACGTGCCAAAGTGGAAGTGGGTGTGTGTGTTAGTGTCATTGTCACTTAGGGATGATGGTGTTGTGCTTTTTCAGTAGGTGATTTTTTGCTAATATATATATATTTTAACAAATTTGCAGGGAGCGCCCATGATAGCGCTCCGATCCAGTTCCTACAGGGGCGGGGGTTGCGCAGGGCCACAGCCGGGAGCTGAGAGCCCCATCCGGGCCTCCCCCTTGGGCCCTCATCTGCTGCCTGCCCGCCATTGCATCAGCAGGAAGCTGGGATGGGAGAACAGACCCGGAACTTGAACCTAGGTTCTCTGATGGATGAGGCACCTCGAGTGGTATTAACCACTAGGCCGAAGCCCCCTCAGCTCCCACCCATGGATGTTTTTTCAATTTTGAAGTGACAGAACTTTTTTTTTTTAGCAAGTTTATTTTTGTCTGCTAGGGAACAGAGTGACAGAAAGTTATCTTTGATTTGCTAGTCCATTTCCCAAATGACAGAACAGTCAGGGCTTGTCCAGGCGAGGCCAGGAACCCAGAACTCCACCTGAGTCTCCCATGTGGGTGGCGGGGGCCCTGACACTTGAATCTCTTGCGTTGCCTCCTGGGATGCAGTGACAGGAAGCGGGGTCAGAAGTGGAGCTGGCAGGACTTAGAGCAGCACTCCCACATGGCATGGAGTGCCCCCAGCAGCAGCTCTGCCCACTGTACCACAGTGCCTGTGCAGGGGCTCTTGTCTGCCTCGCTTTTCACACACTGGCAGAGCCCCTCCCACTGGGCCAGGCGCTGAGTGCTGGCAGCAGGGAGTGGTGACGTGGTGTCAGGCTGGAGGGCCGGGCACTGAGTGCTGGTGGCATGGGGTGGCCTGCTGTCGGTGACCTCCCAGGCCACAGCCTTCAGAAAGCCCTACACCCTTATGTCCTTGCGGAAACAAGGCAGGCTCTGGCGCTTAGCACATAGGTGACCCTGGGCCAGGGGCTCGCTTCCTGGGAGCCTTGATTTTCTGGATATACAAGTGGAGTGACCTTGAACCTGCCTCCCAGAGTCTTGCGAGCAGTGCATATGGGAAGCTGTGTCCGGTGCTTGGAGTGGCATCTGCCAGAGGGGCAGCACTACCAAAGGCTCTGCTGTTGCTAACGCTCAGCCAGGGTCACGTGCCCTTGCTCTGTCCTCGAAGGGGGGCCTGTTTCCCAGTAGGTGGTTTAGGATTTGAGGGAGGCCGCCAAAGCTCTTCCATGTTGGCGTGAGTTCAGACAGGTGCCTCAGAGCTCCTGCTGTTCGGGGAGGAGTTGAGGACCACCTGCTCCCCTGGGGGGTCAGCAGAAGTGCTGGACAAGAGCATCCTATCTGCTTTTCAGAGAAGAGGGGAAGCGGTGGCTTTGGCCTGCCCGCTGCGCCACCTTCCCCAGTCTGTCCCTTGGTTCCCTTCCTCGTAAACCAGAGGTACACTGGGTTTTATGAGTCTGCCACCTGGCTTTTTACGAAGACCACGGAAGCTGGCACGGTAGTGTAGTTACAAAAGCTGCCACATGTAATGTTGGCATCCTATAGGGGCACTGACCAAGACTCAGGTGCTCCACTTCCACACCAGCTCCCTGCTCATGCTCCTGGGAAAGCAGCAGAGAATGGCCCAAGTGCTTGGCCCCTGCACCCATGTGGGAGACCCTGAAGAAACTCCTGGCTCCTGGCTCACATCTTTAGCCTGTCACAGTCCTGGGGGTTGTGGTGAGTGAACCAGCAGATGGGAGCTCTCTCTCTCTCTTTTTTTAATGTATTCATTTGAAAGAGTAACAGAGAAGGAGTCTGAAGGACAGTTTCCCACCTGCTGGTTCACTCCCAAAGTGGCCACAGCAGCGGGGGGCCAGGTCTTCCACCTGGTTGGCAGGACCCTGAGCACTTGGGCCATCTGCTGCATTCTCAGGGGCATTAGCAGGAAGCTGGCTCGGAAGTGGAGCAGCCAGGATTCAAAATGGCATACTGTGGGATGCTGGCGCACAGAAGGTGGCCCGTGTAACGGTAGCTCTTAACAAGGCTGGGTGGGTTAGTAGCTGGGTTTTGCGAATTTGCTGGCAGTCTGCTCAGTCCCTGCAGACAAATCCTTGCCCCTCTGGGTGGAGCTGGGAGCACATTTGGGGTGGCTTGCAGCAGCAGTTCACGGGCCTGGACCTGCTCCTCCACTTGCCCCTATCTTCCCCAGGAAGCACTGCGCAACTCTGGCGGGGACGGGCTGGGGCAGATATCCCTGGAGTTCTACCAGAAGAAGAAGTCCCGCTGGCCTTTCTCGGACGAGTGCATCCCGTGGGAGGTGTGGACGGTCAAGGTGCACGTGGTGGCGCTGGCCACGGAGCAGGAGCGGCAGATCTGCCGCGAGAAGGTGGGCGAGAAGCTGTGCGAGAAGCTCATCAACATCGTGGAGGTGATGAACCGGCACGAGTACCTGCCCAAGATGCCCACGCAGTCGGAGGTGGACAATGTGTTCGACACGGGCCTGCGGGACGTGCAGCCCTACCTCTACAAGATCTCCTTCCAGATCACTGATGCGCTGGGCACCTCGGTCACCACCACCATGCGCAGGCTCATCAAAGACACTCTTGCCCTCTAGGCCGCCCTGGGGCCAGTGGAGCTGCTCGGGACTGGGCTGGGAGCCCCTGGGCTCTGGGACCTGTGTGCCCTCTCGATGGGCAGTTGCCAGCCTCCGCTGCTGCCACGGCTGGTCCAGGCCTGCCTGCTGCCCTGGCCCCGCAGCCCGGGCAGGCCCCTCCACCTTCCCTGTGTGGAAGAGCACCACGGCACTGGTAAATAAAGTTGTGAGTGTGACTTTGGGATGTGCCTTCTCTCCAGGACTGTGTCCTCAGATGTTGGTCCTGTGAGTGTTCCTGCAAGGACATGGGTGCAGCAGGGTTAAGCATGCATGAAAACCAACCTCCCCACACCCAGGTGTTGCCCACCCAGGTGCCACGCAGGCCAGCCGTGAGTGAAGTCTTGGGTCCTGTGTGTTGCTTGTGAGCCTGCTTTCTGGTCCCCTCCTGGAGGGAAGGCACAGCGTGCAGGAAGCGGACTGTTTCCCTCTGGAGAGCTTGGCCATGGGCTGCCTGCCACCGTGGACTGAGGACCTGGTTTGGGCTGGTCCTCACTGCTGGAGAGGGCCTTGCTCTGCCGAGTTAACCTGTGCAGACTGACCCTTCCTCGCTCATGCACTGGACCTGCGTGGATTTATTCCATACACTACTATGCTTTTTGGCCCTTTTTAAATCACTTCTAGATGGACAGAGGAAGTGTGTGGAGGGGACCTCTATGGGGGCGTGGGATGGAGGGGCGTTGACAAGCCACCCATGGCCCTGGGGTCACACCTGCAGTTTCTGCAGTGTCCCAGTAGTCCCCTGGGAAGCCTTGGGATGGAGAACTGGGCGGACAGGGCAGCAGTGACATGCCCTCCCCTTTAGCATTGTGGTTCCTGTGAGTTGGTGGACCGGCTGATTCAGGGTTGAGGGGTGCTCGTCACCCTGATCTGTAGCCTCTTACTGACCTGTAAATATGACTGTAGGCTCACGGGGGCCTGAGAAAGGGAGGCACAGGGAAGGGTTTGGGGTTTCTGCCCCCTCCCAGCCCCTGGGAGGAGGTGCTACCTGTGTGGGTGTGGCCAGGAAGAGCCCTAGGTTTGCCTGGCTGGATCTGCCAAGTGGTCATGCAAAGCCCGAGGCAGGCACAGCCAGCCTGTTGAAGGGGCCATGGCCAGTCCATGCTGGCGGAACGCTTTTGTCTGAACAGGGCACTGTGCAAGGGGGGCTGGGAGCCCAGGGCTTCAGGGATCCGCCCCTTGTGTTCCTCCCCTCCACTGCCGCCAGTCGGCCAGCCCCCTGAGGCTCTGCACAGCTGGCGGCCTCTAGCTCACATCTGGGCAGCTGCCGCAGAGGATGAACGGCTCGCAGGTGGGCAATGTGGCCCCGGCCTCCTGGCTGACCTGCTGCAACCAGTCGGGGGCGCCACCTCCGGAGCTCCCCGAGGGACCTCGCACGCTGCAGGTGGTGGTGCTGGGCGTGCTGTCACTGCTGGTGCTCTGCGGGGTCCTGTTCCTGGGTGGCAGCCTCCTCCTGCGTGCGCAGGGCCTTGCTGCACTGCTGGCCCAGGAGCAGCGTGCCTCCCGTGAGTCCCAGCCCAGCGACACCAGCGTGGGCGACGATTCCTCCTAGGTGCCTGGCTGCGCTGCCCTGGGCGGTGGCAGCTTCCAGGCAGCCAGGAGCCAGGGCCCTGCACCGATGGCCTTGGCAGAGAAGGGAGATTCGTGGCCTGAGCAAACACAGGTGAAAAGGCTAGGGGGTGTGGTGCGGAGGAGTGCAGGGGCCCACCACAACCCCCTTTGGGGAGGCTTTGCCTTGGGGACTTCTCTCCTGTTTGTGTGAGCCCTGGAGCCAGGCTGGGCCGCTGTGCTGGGGTCTGGGGAGGGAGGGCCCCTTCTCTCCCTCTCCAAACCCCTTCCCTTCTCAAGTGTCCTTCCCTATATTGCCAACAGATGATGTTGCTGGGCAGGGGTGTCTGGGGGGTCGGGAGAGCCACAGTGTGTGTTAAAGCTGTGGTCCCTGGGACCAACCCCCACCGGCTTCCTCCCCACCCCTTGACCTCTGCCTTGGTCTGCACTGAGGCTGGGGTGGGAGTGGGGGGGGGTGATGGGGAGGTGTGCTCAGGTCCCCACCCCTTGGAGGCCAGGCCAGGCCTGCGTGTGTCTGTGTGCTGGGGGTGGGGCAGGGGAGGCCGCCCCCTGGCTAGGCTCCCAGCAGCTGGGGGGCCTCTGGAGCACAGCTCTTCCCCGGAAGTGGGGCTGAGTGTTCCCAGCTGCAGGCGGGGGCTCCGTCTGGGTCTCCTGCCTGTGTCTCTCCAAGGACAGGAGCCATCTGGAGGGAAGGGCCTGGGTGGCCCATGGGACAAGGTAACTGGGGGCCAAGGCCACCCCTGACAGAGAGGGAGTCATGGGCTGGGGAGATCACTATTGTTCAACTGTGTTACTGAGAACTCTTGGGGTAGGGGGCTTCCTGAGGCCTAGTGCTGGGGTGGGATCTCCAGTGTGTGTGTCTGGGAGGGCCCAGGGGCAGGGCAGGCAGGTGCAGTTTAGCTAACAAACTGCCAATAGTCTGCTCTCCTGCTGAGCAGCTCAGGGGCCTGGCGTTGGTCCCAGCAGCCACCCTGGCCTCGCTGCTGCTCTACCGCCTCTCGAACCTTGCACATTGGTGCCTAGTGGAGAGGCCGGCGCAGTGGGGCAGTGATGCGAGTGTGTGTACATGCTGACCCGCCAAGTCCCAGCCCAGGGTTTCCAGCTGTGCCCAGGAGACAGTCCCCACCAGACGGCTGGCTCCTTGGGACTGTCATGCCCCGGCTCTCACAGCCTGATGGATCCTGTCACTCCCTTGGCCACACCTCCCCAACAGGGGGAGAGGGCTCCCTAGGTCTCTGGTAGGCCCCTCACTTCACAAGAGCAGGTCTGAAGCCCCGGGGAGGGGGAGTGTCATTCCCCCACCTGTCCTGACCGCTTTCCCCCTTCCCATGGTTCTCTGAGCCCTGATGGGAGGTATAATCCATTTCTCACCAAAGGAGTGGGCTTTGACACACAGTTCTGTGTCGTCATCCCCTCCTGTATCCGTTTCTCAGTGGCCCTGTCCCCTAGCTCTCTCACTGCTGTGAAGTCCTGGTGCCCAGGCAGCAGCTGCCCACCTACTGGCCTCACCTTGCCCTGACTCACCCTGACGTGGGGAGGGGCTCTGAGGTCAGTCTGAAGAGTAGAGACTCAAGCGGTCAGAGTGGAAGCGTCAGATTTGACCTGTGCTTTGTCCTTTGGGTTCAAGTTCAGCATCAGGAGGTGACAGGGGCATAAGAATGATGGTATGCAGCAGTACTGGGCAGGGGAGGGGAGGGGAGGAGGATGAAGGGGCTTGGGCAAAGCCTTCCTCCATCCCACTTCTGCCCTTGCTCTCCTGGAGCTTGAGGACCTGTGTGCCCCCTTGGGGAAGATGCCAAGCCATTTGCCATGGGCCTGTTGGCCTGGTCAAGACTGGCAGAAGACTGGGGGGTGGGCACTGCAGTCATCTCCCTGAGGTTCCAGCTGGGGGGTGGCCTGAGTGCTGTGGGGCAAGGCTGGGCACGTGCCTTAACCAGGGGATGGCTCTCTTACAGGTTCTGAGCCCTGTGTGGTCTGCCGCCGGACATCGCACACTTTGCTCCATGTATGCTGCAGCCAACAGGGCAGACGGTTACGAGACCTCCACCCGGGACTGCGTGCTGCAGCTGACCAGCTCCTGAGAAGCTCGTGGTCATGGGTGCAAGTGGGCCACGTTCCAAGGAGGACTAAACCGGACCAGCTACCCACCTGCCCTGGAGGGCTGCTGCGGGACCTGGGCACTCGATGCCCTTAGGCTGGCCATGCATCCTCTGTCACTAGGCCTTGGAAGGTGAGGCACGGCCATGGTCTGAGGGGCCCCATGGCCTGTCCTAGCGAGGGCTGGGAGACCCCAGCACCCAGCAGTGCCCCATTGCTTTCTGCATTGTTATGGTCTGTGCTTGGAAGCAGGGACTTCTTCCCCCTGCAGTCGATCTGTTTCTAGCAGGTACTGAAAGAGCAGCGCACGGCAGGGCCCCTCTCCCCTAAGCACTTGCTTTATGGTGGCCATCTTGGCACCAAGAGACTTGGCAGGCCAGCATACTGCTGCCTCCTAGTGGGCAGCGTGGTTAAGCACTCCACCTCATTACACCAGGTACCCACCCCCCCAGGGTGTGCTGGGCGTCCCAGGCAGGCCAAGCGCTTGCCTGTTGATAAAAGGCTTCATGTACTGTAACTGCCATGTGACTTTGTTATTATTCTGCCTGAACCTGACCATCCTCAAAAGGAAGGGAAGTGATGCATGTTCTGTTTTCTGAACACGCCTTCATGCTCTTCCTCTCTGAGTTGACCGTCGACCATGTTGGGGGACAAAGAGGGAACCAGGATGACCATGTTGAGGGACAAAGTGGGAACCAAGACAGCCCTATATACTGAAGTCAGAACACGCCCTGAGAAGGGCCCTGGTCGGCAGGGCTGGGAGCAAAATGAGTGGGTGCTCCCTGGGGGTGGGGTGGCTTGGGAGTGACAGCGAGCAGGGCTTTGCAAGCAGGGGTCAGCCCTCACCCTCTCCCCAAGGCCAGGAGCTGGAATTCATGCTGGAAAGATCAAGAGGTCTGGAGGTAGTGACACAGTAAGATCCATATCTTTTGAAATAAAGATTTCTTTTACTTGAAACTCAAAGTTCCAGAGAGAGACCGAGAGCTCTTCCAGCTGCTGATTCACTTCTCATCTGGCCACAACAGCTAGGGCTGTGCCGGGTTGAAGCCAGAAGCTTCTTCTGGTCTCCCACACAGGTGCAAGCGCCCAAGGATTTGGGCTATTCTCCACTGCTTTTCCAGGCTCATTAACAGGGAGCTGGGTCAGAAGTGAAGCAGTTGGGACAAGAACCAGTGCCCAAAAGGGACATTGGCTATGCCACAGAGTCAACCCCAAGATTAATGCTTTAAGAATGGTGGGATTAATCTCCAGCTGGGAGAAGGCTGGGTGGAAGGCAGGCAGCAAGGAGGCCCTTGGCAACACCCAGTGGAGATGGAGTCACATGGATTTGTGGGCAGGGAGGGACCAGCCCAGAACCCGTGTAGAGGGCACTAATTGAGTTGGTCATAACCGTGAAGCTGAGGCCTGGTGGATGATGTCCTTGTTTCTAGCGAGGTGGGGTTTACCAGATGGGGCTTTGTTGGTGTGAAGGTGGAGGATGCCCAGATATGGGTAGCCATGGGGGATTCACCAGCATGCACATCCCTCAGGGTGCCTGTCCCTGGGGTCCCACACACACAGGCCACTCTCCATTTCTCTTCCATCAGCCGGGTCAGTAGCCAGGGTTCTGACACCATACTTTCTGGGTTTGAATCCACCATCGCATTTGCTGTGTGACTTGAGCGAAGTGCTTGGCCCCTCTGTGGTCTGTCGCCTGTGGCCCTGGTGTGTGCCATCTCCTTGTGGGATGAGATGACCATCACACACACACACGTGCGGGGAACTGGGTGCTGTGCCTGCCACCGAGCCACAGGGTTCCGCAGATGGCCAGGTGCCCGGTGGAGGATCCAGTATGTGCCATGACTCACAAGGAGTCCAGCAGGCTGGAGAAAGTTGACACCGACCTTCGCTGCTTCCAGTCCAGGCTAGGCAAGTGGCTGGCCCTCTGACCTCTAGGGTTCAAACCTGTCCAGGGAAGCAGGGGTCATCTCCTTGGGACACTTGGGCCAAAGCTGGGATGCATGAAGCTGGCCCCTGTCTCTCTGCTGATCCTGAAGCAGCCCCACACTGAGGGGTGTAGAATGTTAGAATGTTCTAGACTTTGAACTGGGACTAGGGGATACCTCCCCCCCATCAAAATATGGTGCTCCTAGCAGGTGGGGGAGTTGCCATATCCCCCTGCCTGGCTCTGTTCAGTCCCCGGGGCACACAAATGGAGCGGCTGGGAAGGTCCCCGGTAGGAGGTGACTGCTGGGATGTGTGGGGCCAGGATGTGGCTAAGGTGGAGTGGTACAGGTGGGAGGTGGGAGGTGTGCGGCTGCTTTTGCCACCTCCTCCCCATTTCCACCCAGTTCTCTGACCCTGTTGGCTGAAGGAGCATTTTGAACTTGGCCCTGGGGCTGTAGGGTGCCCACAGAGAACATCGCAGCTCTGGGCAGCCTGATGGCTACCTCCTTGGGATGAGCCACCAGGGGTATCCTGGAGCTGGGAGACAGGATGTCCCACCTCCCACCCCCACTCCCCTGCAATCTCCCTCCTCCCAGTGCTGTAAGGTTTCAGCCCTTCCTCCCTACAACCCTGCTCTGATGTCCCCCGCTGTAGCCTTCCTGTGTGCACTGCTCCTGGCCTGAGTCCTTTGCAGCCAGGCCTCCTGGCATCGTGTCTGTCTCCGCTGGCGCCGATGCTAAAACGCTCGGCTTTCCTCTGCCTTAAAATAGGTTTCTGTTACCGCTGCCTCCTCCTCCAGTTTCTTGGCCGCTGGCATTCTCCGTCCCTCTTGGCTGTCCCAGCCTGGCCCCTGCCCCTCTGTAGGTCCAACCACCGAGCCCTGCTGGGATGGCTGGCTACTCTGGCTGCCACTTGTCCTGTGGCCAGCTGCACTGCCCCAGCTCTGTGCCCATAGGGTGGGGGTTGGTGTCACTCTCACCTGTTACCCCTGACCTTGAGGTGCTCTGCCTGCACTTGCAGGCCCAGTTTGGGGAACCCAACCTAGACCTTTTTCCTACCCACCTTCTTCCCCACCTTGTACCATCTCTTGCACCTGAGCTCAGCAGGCTGGCCTGGTGCCCAACTGTTCCCTTTTGATTCTGCAAAGATGTGTCGGAGCAGAGGCTGTCCGGGGCCTATGGATGTCAGATGGGAGGCACCTGTCAGGCATGAGGTGACTGCTGGTGATGGGACGAGAATACAACAGGGGGATGGGCAGAGGGTGACATCTGAGTCCAGAGCTGACCTGCCCGGGCAAGCTCCAGGGCATGGTGTTCCTGCTAGAGGGACAACGACTGAAAAGGTCCAGCTGTGACCATGAACTTGGCGTGCCTGAGGGAGAGAAAAGAGGCCGGTGTGGTGAGGCTGTTACCTCATTCTTCCCTCCCTCCCCGACTCCACCACATGCATCCTGACCCAACCCATCCAGGCTGTGTCCCACCTCCCTCCTAGCTACCACCCCTGCCACTTTCAGCCCCCACTCTCCACACCATGGCCAGCACTGTGGGGCCAGCTCTCTGTCTAGCAGTGTCCAGCCCCACCCTCCCTAGTGACCCGCCACCTCTTGGCCCCAGAGTCTGAGTGTGGTGTCCTAGCCCTCTGTTGCCTGCTGACAACTCCTCCTCTGGGATGCGTCCTCCCATTGCCTCCCAGGGACTACTCCAGGGTCATGGCACTGCAGGTGAGATGGGGTGTTACTGGTGTAGCACCCTGGGATTACCCACAGTCCCCTGTTCCACATTCAGTGGCAGTGGGTACACAGCACATGCTTAGTGCATGCGTGTTGGGTGAGTGAAGGAAGGGCTCAGTTCCCTGGGGTGGATAGGAAGGTGACCGTGTCCTGCCCTGGCCCCTGGTGTCGGCTCAGCCATCTGCCCTTGTGAACCCTTACCTGGAGGGACACCTGATGTCTTCTGGGTACCCCCTCCTGCCTCCTGTGCAATATCGCCAGCCTCCATCCCCGCCCCCTGGCTCCGAGTCCCCCCCTGTCCCTGGCTGTCCCCAGAGGTGAGGAGGAGGCTGCTGTCCTTGGACTCAGACCCCAGCTCCCTCCATGGTACCAGCATCCGTATGGACACTGGTTGGGAATCACGTCTGCTACACTTCCCTTTCAGCTCCCTGCTTGGGGTCTGGGAAAGCAGAGGAGGACGGCCCAAGTCTTTGGGATCCAGCACCCACGTGGGAGACCCAGAAGAAGGTCCTGGCTCATGGATTGGGTGTGGCCTAGCTTGCAATTTGCAGAATAAACCAGCAGATGGAAGCGCTCTCTGTCGCTCTTCCAAATAAATGATAATAAAGTCCCTGTTTCCCTTGTGCACGCAGTGTAGACAGAGCGGATTGGAAGGCCTGCATGTCCTGCAGCAGCTTCACCCACTCCCAGCTAGGCCAACCCCCTCCCCCTCGCTCTCCCTCCTGCCCCCAGGCCCTCCCATCCCATCCTCCCATTCCCCCATCTTCTGGCAGTGGCTGGACATTCCTCAGCCAGTCAGGTCACATTCCAAAGTGCTGGGGCTCAGAGTTTCAACATCGCTCTGAGGGGGTCACAGTTCAACGCAGAGTAGGTGGGAAAAACAGGGAGAGTGTGGGGCAAGGGCTAGCTTTTGGTTTTTGCTTATTTTTGAGATTTATTTTTTAGTTCCTTGAAAAGCAGAGACACAGAGGAAGGAGGAGAGGTAGAGATTGTCCATCTACTGGTTTATTCCCCAAATAGCCAAAATGGCCATGGCCGGGCCAGGCTAAAGCCAGGAGCCAGGAGTTTCTTCTGGGTCTCCCATGTAGGTACAGGGGTACAAGGACTTGGGCCATCTGCTACTTTCTCAGGCACATTTGCAGGGAGCTAGATTGGAAGTGGAACAGCTAGGTCTTGAACCAGTGCCCATATGGGGTACCGGCGCTGCAGGCAGAGGCTTAGCCTGATACCCTGCGATGCAGGTCCCAAGGCTGTGGTTTCCAATGGGGTC